AAACTTTCTGTAATACACTTTATTATACTTATATTTAATTTAGGAATACAGTTTGAGGTTGAAAATAATTTATTGAGTGTAGGGGGAGCCAGAGAGAAATAGTTAGTTTTACACATTTTAACCCTCTCTTAGCAAAGCAGAATAAGCACATAATTTACAACATATTTAGTATGTAGATTAAGTATAAATATATCCAACTATAATAAGCAGTTTTCCAAGCCTATATGTCTAGTTTTGAGGCAAGGAAAAATCAGACACCAGAAATACATGAAAAACTATGTATTTTCATCATATCTTAGTCAATTCTTACTCAAATTTGATTAATAAAGTATCTATCTGAAGGGGATTTTAAAAGTATGAATTTAGGTACCAATAGTACACATTTATGTTAAGGATTGAGTGAGATATTGTATTTTCTTTGTGTTTTTCAACTTTGTGACGAAAAATCACATGATCTTACTATTCTAAGGAATTATGCAAGCAGCAGTAATGAATTTAGCAACTTAAATCACACAAAATGGTTGAGTATTGATTGAGTTATAGTGAATTTTGTATTCTGATGTGTTTATTGTGACAAATTGTCACAAAACACGTTAGTGCTAGGTATTTTGAAAACAGCTGTAATGAATTTAGCAACTTAAATCACACAAAATGGTTGAGTATTGATTGAGTTATAGTGAATTTTGTATTCTAATGTGTTTATTGTGACAAATTGTCACAAAACACATCAGTGCCAGGTATTTTGAAAACAGCTGTAATAGGAGGGAGTCCCACAATCTTCAGACTTGTCAAACTCAGTGAATATGGGATGCAAAGCTGTACTTGTTACAGATTGATAGTAGCTTCATGCCAAACACTTGAGAACTCCTCTAGTAATGGAATGTCAATGAGGTTGATTGGTGGCAGCCTAGTTGGATTGCCTTCTATGAAAGCAAGGGATATGTCCTTCCAGCAGGCTTGTTCACCAAGGATTTGGTTTAGAATATATGCAGCCATATTGAGTTTCTTGATTGGAATTTTGCCTGTAATGAACACAGCCATAAGAGTGAGTGCATTGCTCCCTGACCTTCAGATCCAGTTGTTGACAGCTTCCACAAGCTGTTCATCTTGTCCCTTGTCACCCTCTCCATTAACAATGAGATTGATGTCAGTCCATAATGATGAACACAATGTGGCTACTTCACACTATTGCTGGCAGACTTGTGAGAAGTGCAGCAGAGTCAGCATAGGCCCTTTATACAGTGCATTCAAAAACATGTTACTCCCTACATCCTTTCATGACCTCTGAACTGTAGTGAGAAAAATATTACAGAGGATTTTGACAGGCACACAGCAGATTGGGCTAGCCATTTGATAACAATACACCTCTGTGTATTGTGTTAGATATTAGTGTAGAGTAATTTGAGGGCACAAATTGCAATTGAGGATGGATAGACTGAATACATTAGATCCTTTCTTGAAAAGCTGTAAGTTGGTGGGTTCTACAGATTATGGTTGTGGGGGAAACTATTTATTACTGTTGTGGCCACTTTTAGACCACATTATACATTTTTCGTTCCTGTTGAAATTGAAAGAACAACATACTTGAAAAGTACACAAGGGAAGCTTTGGTTCTACCCTAATGTAATGGCCCCCAGTTTCTTGCACTTTGGGCTTGTAGTCACAATGTCCACCACACATATCATTGTAATGAATTTTATAGTACCTGGGTAGTAACCTAACAGTGGACATTAGACATACAAGTGCTGTGGGAATCAATTATCAATACTCCTTGTTAAGTATTAAGTCCTGAATCAAGTGCATTTTACCTTATATTTATTATTAATATTATTAATTGGCTTGATTATTCATGTATAAACATAGAATATCAGTTTTACTCAAACAATAGCTAACTTAAAAAATAGATTTAATTAGAAATGAAATTTTGCATTATTTTCGAAAATTCCTAATTTGTCAGCAACAGTGTAGAGGGGACCTGAAGGCTCAGTAAGGGGACCCAGGCTATAACTATCCTACACAACAGAGATACTGAGATGCTAGCACTATAACATAAGTATCAGAACAAGCAGAGCCTGTAGTTTGGACACAGGAGTAGAGTGAGACAAGAGTAAGGTATATAGAGTGAGCTTAAGAGTACAGAACTATCTAGAGTAGACAAGATTAAGACTACAGAACCAGTCTGACCTTGTACATGTATATATACTAAACTATACAAGAGCACTCAGGGAATAATGAGCCACAAGGAATGAAGAATAAGAGAATAAAGGAGTAAAGGGTAGGAGCCTAGAGAATGAACAAAGAATGAAGGGGTGGACAAAGGCAATGAGTGACAAGGTAGAAAGGAGCAGTAA